ACAGTGTTAAATATTAATAAAATTCAAGAACTTTTCTAACAGTGTATGTTATTTAAAGATATTTAAGGATTTAATTAAAAATCTTTAGATATTTAAAAGCAAGATATTTAGACTGGGTAGTTCTATCTTTTGATAAACCTCAGTTTACTTGTTCTCTTTTGTTCTTCTTCTTCTTTGTTCACTCTATTTTGTTAAATATATGGTCACTTAGTCTGTCTAATGATCAAACAACCGGTCTTTAATCCTCTGTAGACCACAAGGAAAATTGGAAAGATCTAGAGACAATTTTTTTACTTTAAATATTTTATCACTTTTGCAAAAATTTGACATGCACAAAGAAATGTAAAAAAACGTTCCGAATCAGATAATTGTATAATTATATTTCTAAATATTAAAAGAGTATACCAGCATTTTTTCAGATTTTTTTAAAGCTTAAAAACTCTTTGAAAAATGCAACCGTTCCTTAGCAACTCAGGTTGTCTAATTAATGTCCGTTTCTGTCAATATAGTTTAGTTAATTGTAGTTTAGTTAGTTTAATTTTTTAATCTCGATTTAACTAACTCTTCATCTTTTTCTGGTTCTAAGAATTAGAAAAAAATGAAGAGTAAATTAAATCGAGATTAAAAAAAAATTAATCTATTATATATTAATAGAAACGGGCATAAATGGTGAAATTCAGAATAATCCGCGGAGGATTAAAAATTTTATTATAATGTTTATAATGTTTATCATATTTTAAAAATACAGAAACAACTAGAATGTAGTATCTATCAAGCCAAAACGTAATAAACATTCTGCACTAATGATACAAATCATTATATTTTCCTCGTTAAATCAATTATGTCGTTCACATACCTAAGTTCATTTCGTTAGACGATAACGCAATTTCAATAATCTATGGCGGGCATCAAAGCGACGCACGCGGCGCAGTCATTACACGTTGGCGTCTCTGCGTGAAGACAATGAGAGATGAGGGTCTCTTAGCGCATCGCGTTATGCACGCCTCGTCGACGAACTCATTAAAGCCACCGACCGCGCCACGTAACTGGAACCTGGAATAACCCTTCGAAAACTCGAGGGGGAAGCACGGTGAGCCTTCTCTTTCTCGCTTAGGAAAATCGTTTAGAATTTGCAGTAAGTTAGTGTATACCTATCTCTATTATCATGTGAACTGTGCAATTTAGCAACATTTTATGTCATTAATACAATTATAAGAATAATTTGTTAATAATGAATAATTTACCAATAATTTATCTTTCTCCCGTTAAATTTTCTCATCATTAAGACTATATTTTAATAATCCATTTTAAAACATTATATAAACCTATATTTACAATCATATTTTTATATTCCTGTCTTTTGAATCTTTCTTATCCAATCTATTTTTTATTGTTCTAGGATTTTAAAAAATATGGAAAAATTCAGGATTACTTTTCAATACCTCTATTATATTACAAAATAGGTTTTTTTAACTGAAATGCTAAAACCTCTATTTAATAAAAATTGGAATTTGTGCAAAAATGAGAAAAAAATTTGAGAGTGAAATTCGCTTATGTCAAAAAGATCCAAATTGCAAACAAAAAATTAATCAACATTTGACAGATTATTATTAAATCTATTTAATCTAGATTTTTATTTATTTATTTTTTCTAAATAATTACCTAGTACGTAGTTAAGTGACATGTGGATACGCGTGTGCTACAATATTGTCTATAATTAAAAGAATGCTCTCAAGGGTTAACAACAACACGTTAGAGAAAGGAAGATATTTATAAAGTTATTGATATAGTTACTAGGATATTAACTGAAAAAGGTCGCGTGAACTCTATAATGCAGTAACTCTTTTAAAAAGCAGATATATCATTTTTTTTTATTAATACAGTGAGTCGCCTTATCCCCCCTCCTCCTCCTTCTCTGTCATATGTTTAAAACTATCTAATCTATAAAAGTTCTTTTATTTTTAATATTTTTATCCTACTATATTTTTTCATTCACAGCATTTCCACGCAAGCTTCAGCGCCTTTAATTAATATTTTAATTAATATTAGCATCTCAAATTATAGTTCGAGGATATAAATACCCCAAATGCGATATTGTGTCCCGAGATTGAATTTCTCATTTGCCCGAACACACATATTTACTAAAATGTGATAACAATGTATTATATATGTATATACAATATATCATGTACGCTAAGATATTTTATTACCATATCTTATATCTATGTTACACGTAAATTGAATAGATTACCGATATATTAGATACATTTAATCTGTTTTCGAACTAATTTACCTTTATCGGTATTTTTATCTTCAGATATGTGTTTCTGAATTCCTGTTTTAGCTAATCTATAACATAAATACGTAGATAAGAATATTACGTAAAGATTGTAGCGATACCGAAGTAGATATTTTGACTTTCTCTCCGTAAGATATAAAAATTTTTAACATATATAATTTATGTCAGTGAAAATGTAACCCAATAAAATTAAATGTCAGATTCTGAATGTTCCATTCAATAGAATAACGGATGTTTCATGAATTCTCTTATTCTCTATTTATCTTTGCACCTTTCCTTTATACTATTCTAATGCATATCTTTCTATATTGCTTTTCACTTTGCTAAAGCTACCGAAGTGAATAACCGAAGGCAATAGCGAATGATTCAATGGACCACGAAGCAAAGGTGTCAGCAAGGAGTGTTCAAGTGAATGCATATCCAATTACAGAACCGTGCCCGGTCAGGCGATCTTTGAAACCGAACTTCTGAACCGATCGACTTACCTAATTTCGCCGAGCTTTAATGAGTTGGTTTCACCCTTCCGACCAATGAAACGGCCCGTTTATTTCATTAGTTGGTCTTAGCGATGAAATCCAATATCTAATGGATAATTGCAAAACTCTGGTATTTCACAGAGTTAGGTATAACGACAAAAGCGAAAAAATTCTGTCATGGCAAACTGAAAATGTTCAAATGCGTCTCGAGATGCGTCCGACTATAAATATCGAGATGACTCATTCGAGTGCATTGGCCTAAATACTGAGCCGCGTCACTGATGCGTGGCGGGCCGAGCATTGAGCTGCATCACTGGCGCGACACGCCACGGCTTAAATATCGAACAAAAAAATTATGCGGAGCTAAAAGTATTAATGAGAGGGATGTTAATAAGTGATCATAAAAGTGCATTCGTTGCATGCGATGCTAATAACGCCAATCCTGTATAACACTCCTGGAAAATTCGTGTGAAAAATAAAAGCAGGAGAGAAAACGTTTGCAGGCAAAATGAATATAAAGCGGCTGAATACTGCTGCTCTGCCCGGGCGTGTTTTTCATCAGGCTGGTAAGTAAGTTCATTGCGGGTATTACTATACAGGATATAAAGTTACGTACATCCGGATACTTCTGGCAGCGAGAGTGACTCTAAGACGAACACTTTGCTTCCGCGTTTTATGCAGCACGCAATGTAAGGAAAGAGTAGAAGAAAAAAAAAGCGGAAAAATGTTTCAATGCGTCGAAATGTCTCTTGACTGCTGTGAAAAGAATGGAAACGTAAAAATGGACTTTAATATGCCTCTTCATCGTGCCGCTCATCAGCGCCGCAATAAAAAAAAAATTAATGCACAGCTCAGAAAAACAAAAAAATTCAAGCTACAATTTCCATTTGAATGTTCAATTGTTAAAATGTCATTTAAGTATAATTTATTATATTACATATTAAATATTATATTATTGTTCATACTATTATTCCGAGCTTTATAAGCATTTGCTTTTGGCTTCACCTTTCCATTATTTCCTTTTCCACGCACATTCGTGAGAAGATAATTTTATTATGTAAAAATGTGTTATATGTCGTGATAACGCAGTTGTAGACATAGTGAAATGTAAAGTATAAATGGATCCTCACGTTGATGTTCTGGCGCTCGCGCCGAGATTAATTAGTCATGGAAAATATAATTTACCTCGTCATCCGTTTGTAATTATACAATTACGCGGTTATTTATAAATGAGCAGAATTAATCAACTGCTCGGATAAAGCTCTGGAGCGGAGAACTTGCCGAAATAAATTTTCATAATCCTAACACGGAAGCCAGCTAATCGCCATTAGCACTCACGCGTATTACCTGAATGCAACTTCCGCCTAATAATGTCTAATATATACGCACGTCAGTTGATATGTCAAAGGCAGATCGATCACGAGCAAAAACAAGCATGCAAAAATACGAACATGCAGAGATATAATAATATTTGCATATAATATATGCAAAAATTTCGTATGCTATCCACAAATTAAAACATCTTGGAATAAAGAGAATATATTTATTGCAGAATAGATAGAAAATAGATATTATTTTCAAGTTTGCTTGTTAAAAAATTTTGCATGTGCAAAAATAACTCTGCTATATTTTCAGGAATAAAGTAATGTAACAGGACATATGTACATACATATACATATACATATACAGCCTTGACCATAGATATAAAACACCCTGAATTTATTGCATTTTCTTTCCAAAAAGAAGGTAATAAAAAGCAGGACTAATACAAAATATTAAATTAATATAAAAATAAATATTATTTTTCAATAAATCTGTTTTTAATTTACTTTTTACTTTTTACTATATATAATAAAACGTTCGCGTGAATTTGTGGGAGTACTTTTTGTATTGGCCCTACAGCTATATATTCTTTAAATTAATGTAGAAATATATTATTACATTTCTCCCATTTTGAAAAAAGAAACAAATTTGTAAAAAGAATTTTCTTTCATGTATATAAATAAAATTATATAGAAAATATTTAAAACCTACTTAAGCATTAAAATGTGTGATTTAGTATCACTGACTTATTATTATCATCTTACTCTCGTATAAAATATAAAACGTTAGAAATATACATATATATATATGCATACATATAATACATGCAGTAAAATCTGATGTAATATCACATGCATTTATCTTAAGTAAGACGAAGAAGCAAAGCGTTAGATAGAACTCACCGTCGTTGTTGGTCCGTGCGCGAGGTGGAGATGAGCTAACGGTTGGAAAATTTCTGGAGACGTTGTCGCGTGGTGGCGGCTGCGGTCCTTCGAGATTTGGACTGGGGCTGAATTCAGCCCTGAAGTCCGCCCTGTCGAATCCTTCCTCGAACTCTTGCATCACTGCCTCGTCCGGCTCGATACCGCCCTCAAATTGCTCCCGTAACACCGACCTCGGAACTGGAACGGAAAAAGAGATTTCAAAGTCTGTTCGCTGTGTAATGGACTCCATCAACGACACATCAAATATACATGGAAGTACGCCGTTTTGTACAAGATTGCCGATATAAGAAAAGAATCCGTCGACGACGAGAGTCGCGATAAAATCATTTCCGCGTCGGTATTGGTTTCCGTTAAAAGCCTGCGATTGACTGAAATTTGAGATGGAGATGCATGTTTCATGAGCAAAAAAATTATATATAAAAAAAGTAAAATCTGGACCTATCCGACTATAGGTCCAACTTATAATTAGTTGATAATATCAAGTATAAGTTTCGTATGATTATTTAATGATATCAAGTATAGGTAAGTTTCGCATGTTTTTATATGAAATTACGGAAAGACGCTGCAAACGAGCAGACTAGATTTTATTATATATTCAACGGCTTATTTACGAGTGCATAAATGCGGAAAATGCGAAATCATTCAATCGTTCGATGCATTTTATCCTTCAAGAATTCTCGTGGCATCCTATTCCGCGCATTCTACGCGCATTGCATTCAGGCTAAGTTCGTACGAATTTATGCAATGGCTTCCAGAGCACCCGTTCTAAATGTACGTAAGAGGAGCATGGATAAGCGTCGATCGGATCAAAACGTATACATAAACGTTATGTGTGATGGCAAATAAATCCGCTTGAAGATGTGTGCGAGCGCAGTGGTTAATACCTACCAGTAATAACATTGCATTTGCGCACGTTGTGTGTATCGAATCGGAATGAAATGCTACCGATCGTTGTAAGTGATACGTAATCGTTATCGTGCTTACACGGTACTGTCCATTTTTCATTGCACGTGCGTCGCCGCGCTTGCAATAAACCTCGTGCTCCGCTAGGAGTATACTCGTGAATTCGCGACATAAAATAGTTTCGTTGCGCGGGGCGAGCACGAAATACGTTTCGAGGTAAAATGTGGAGATATATATGATATTTTGAGAAGTGATATCAATCAATTGACAATTTTACGAGCGGCAATCGTGAATCATCTATAAGTCTTTATTATATGCCTAACAGCCACGATATATTTTTGATTACATTTTTTTCCAATCAAAATCTAAATGTGCAAAGTGATATAGATTAGAATTACGTCTAAACTAAACAGTTATTATTTTACAAGTAAGCCGAATAAAATAAATGAAACGCAATTTTGTAAAAGTAAATTTTTTAATTTTTGAATCCTTTTTCTTCGATAATTAATATGTATATGCTGACACTTATAAACTGGTTTGTGCATTTATAATTTAGCTTGTAAACGGTTTAAATGAAATTTTCTGTACAATATGACATTTTGTTTTGTTCAACCTACTCGTTGCAAAATAATAACCATTTGGTTTAAACACAATCCTAATAACCACACGGTATATTGAATTCCCACAAATGTGTTTATAATTTTAAAATATAAAATGCCAAAAATAGAAAATATTTATTATACTTTTAACTTTAAAAGCTTTTATAATAGACTTGTAAAATTTTATAAATATAATATGTGGTATTATACCTCAGCAACAGAGAGAGAGAGAGAGAGAGAGAGAGAGAGAGAGAGAGAGAGAGAG